GGGTGTGGGTGTGGGTGTGGGTGTGGGTGTGGGTGTGGGGTGCGTAGGGTGTGGGTGTGACCATGAAGCCAGGAACCACCCTTATCCAACACCCACACCCACACCCCACACCCTCGAAATGGGAGATAATCAACGAGAACAACAATTACTTAAAAGAAAAATTCTTTTTCTTTATTTTAACAATTTATTAAATAATCACAATTTTGTTGTTCAAAATTATTCGGTAAGAAAAAAATAAAAATTCCTATGAATCTATTTGATTTCTTCTATAGGGTTTTAATTCAATAAATGATTAAATATTTATGTCGTCTTCTATTTCTTTTCTTTATAAATATGAAGGTGTTGACATTTCTCTTGATTTAAAACGTCGTGATAAATTTTTATTCGTTTATGTTAAAGTAAAGACAATGTTTTTTTTTAAATAAAAAATATGATAGATTTATCTAATTTTAGAATTATTCTATTGGTTTAAATAGTGAAGTAACTGTTCTGTTTTATAAACATTTCAGTGGAAACGACGAATAATTCATTGATGTAAGACAAAAATTATTCATATAAAGTCGCAATTATTTATATATTGATTGGAAAATACAAATGAATTCGATGCAACAAATGAATACATTGATGAATGAAATTAAAAAAACAAGAAGAAACAAATAATACATCAAATATGCATTTAACTGATGATGATAAAGAAAAAGGAGCATTTACAAAATTTTAATATTTCAAAGCGAACAATTAAAAAAGTTCAGGGTAAAAAAAAACATCCAAATTGTAATCAAGATGAAAATAATTTTCGTTTTTAGATCGTTATGTTGAATTTCTTTTTCCTATTCAAGCACAAAGTTTATAAATATATATATATATATATGATAAAAAAGATTATTTAGTTCAAGGATATATACAGGCACTGTAAAAACATTATTAACTTTTTCTATTCCTATTGTTGAATTACTTAAAAATGATACATCAATTAAATTAATTCGTGGACGATCACCACCAATACTTATTTTAGCAGCAACAAGAGAATTAAGTAAGTTATTTATATAAAAATAATTTAAATTATTTTAAATATATTAAATTTAGCTAAACAAATTTTGGATGATTTTCAATAAATTGTTAGTGATTTATCAATCGTAACAATTTATGGTGGAAATAAATATGATGGTCAATAGAATAGTATTCGAAATGATTGTCATATTCTTGTTCTTGTTACAACAGCAGGAAGATTAAAAGATATTGTTGATAAAGGAAAAGTTGATTTAACTAAAATAAAACATGTTATTCTTGATAAAGTTGATCGAATGGTTGATATGGGTTTTATTGATGATGTTGAAGAAATTCTTGAACATATATTTACACCAAGTATCTATTTATTTATTAAAAAAGACTTTAAAATAAAAAATTTAATTTATTTAGATCGAGAGACTAAACCACAATTTATTGTTTTTTGTTCTGCAACAATGCCTGATTGGGTATGTAAAGCAACAAAAAAATATATGCCAAAATATTTTATTGTGGTAGATTTAGTTAAAGGCAATACACAATAATACATCGGCAAATGTTGAAGTAAATTTTCTTTTACAATTGAAAGTATTTAATATGTGATTTTCTTTTTGTTAATTAGCATATAGCTGTATAATGTATTTATCAAGATCGTGCTGGTATTATTGATTTTCTTCTTCAAATATATTCAAGTAGTAGTTTTTATGGACGTGCAATTGGTTTTTGTGAAACAAAAAAAGAAACTGATGAACTTTCAGTTAGTCATGATATTAAAGTAAAAGCACACGTACTTCATGGTGATATTTCCCAACGATAAACGTGAACTTGTTCTGAAAGTTTTTTGAAAAAATTTCTTTTTAAAATATAAAATAATTTTATTTTTTTATTGAATTAGAAATTTCGTGAAGGAAAATATCGTTTATTAATAACGATTGATGTTATTAGGGGTGGTCTTGATATTCCAGAAGTTGATCTTGTTATTGTATCAGCTCCACCAAAAGTAAACAATAAAATTATTAAAGAAAAGTAAAAATTAAATTAATTATATTAGAATGTTGAATCATATATTCATCGATCATCTCATACAGATCGAGCAGGTGATCAAGGCAAATGTTATTTGTCTATATAAATCCAATAAAACGCGTGATCTTCGGCGAGTAGAAGTTGAAGCAATATGTAAAACAAAAACTGTTTTATTATATATTCTATTGTTGATAATTTAGAGTATTAAATTTACACGTATTGAACCAGCAAGACCAGAAGATGTACCTGATGCATCATCTGCTGATGCAGCACAAAGTAAGATTCAAATAATTATTTCTTTTTTTTTTTTGTATTTCTATCTGTTTTTTTTAGAGCTCTTGATAGTGTAACTGATGCAGCAAAAGCACATTTATCGTCATTAAGTAGCTAAAAAAATTGTTGAAAAACGTGATGCAGTTGATGCTTTATCCGCTGCATTAGCTTGTATATCTGATACAACAAATATTGTTCCTCGATCTTCATTGACAGAAAAAGAAGTACGATAAAAAAATTTTTTATTATATTTTTGTTATCTGATTTATTATGTAGAATTATATAAGATATATGTTAACAGTTACAGATGAATTCAAAGGTCCAGAATTAGTATTTACTATGTTAAAATAAAATGTTTTGGAAAAGATTTTAATGCTGAAGAAACGTGTTCACAAGTTGCATTTACAAAATATTATCGAGTATGTTTAATAAATTGAAAGATTTATATAATATATTTTAAATTCGAGATGCTATTTTCGATATACTATGTGAATTTGATGAACAATTAGAAAGTTATTGGAAAGATAGTTCAAGAATTCAAATGAAATATATTAAAGAATCAGCACAAGTTGATGAATCAACTAGAAGTGTTAATAGAGGATATTCACGTAGTAGTAATGAACCAGTAGGTAGTGGAAGCTATACTAGAAATCGAAATTCTGAACGATCGAGTAAGAATAATCGATTTTATTTATTATTTTAATAAATTTGTTTTATTTTTTAGATGCTTATTTTAAATGTAAGTATTTTCAATTTTTTTCTATGAAGTTAAGTAAATTATTTTAGGTGAAAAAGAGAAAGTCATAAATCTTTTGAATGTCTAGAAACAAAAAAAAAATCTAGTGGTGATCGTGAATAATCAAGTCAGTTTTTAATTAATGATAGAATGTAAAGAATAATAAAAACTATAGAATTTTAGATGGTAGTTGTTTCAATTGTCATAAATCTTTTGATTGTTCAAAACCAAAAAAACAGACGATCATTAGAAAATATCAGTAATCATGGTATTAAACGTAGTTTCACTGGTAATCAGACTAATGAACATAGTATAGGTGAAACAAGTAGAAAAAAAAAATTTAATTGACGACGATGAATATTGATTAAACAAATTTATATTCAATTTGTTTGTTTTCGTTTCACTTTTCTTGTTTTATGTTTTTTTGTTTTTTGCAATAACGTTATTGTTATTGTTTTTTTGTTTTCTCTTGATGAACATCATATTTTTGTTATGATGTTTGAAATTTTTGTTGTTTCATCAAAATAAGAATAAAAAACAAAAAAACATAATGAATAGGTTATCTATTATTTTTACCTGCATATGACAATTCATATATTGAAATTAGTTTGATTTCAACAAGATAAATTCGATTTAAACATACAACTGAATGTCATAATAGTCTGTTGTATATGTTGTCAAATAACTTATTACATATTTTTACAATGGTTTATTTGAATATCATTCTTTCCTTATTCGTATGTTTTTTCTTTCTTTCTCATTTTTAAGAAAAACTACTAATAGATTATAATCATTTCTATCCTTATTATTCAATTGATCTAATCAATTTACTTCGTTGTCTGTGTATTTCACGTTAAATACTCTGGTACTATAATTTTCAACTTTCATATTGAATCTCCAAATTATGTAAGTACTCCTGACATATTTATTATATAAAAAATAATTTATAATTATTCCAGTAAAAGATATTAATTGCAACGTTCAGATTATAGATACGTTCTGGTGTCTTTGTATATACCACTGAGATCGACTAAGAATAGACTTCATCATCATATATTATTAGAAAACAATCTGAAGGATCATGTAATGAAACGATATCATATAACTCTGATGAGAGATGATTAGAAATTTAGAAGAATACTACTGTTCTCATAGTTTTTGGATTTCATTATTCTTTAAAAGACACAATACTTTTGATAAAAATTGTTTCAATCTATATATGTTGTACTCTTCAAAGACTATTTATCATATTATCATTAGTAACTAGGGTGTGGGCGTGGGTGGGTGTGAGTGTGGGTGTTGTGGGTGTACAACTTTCCTTTACTCACACCCCGCACCCACACCCACACACCCACACCAACACCTACACCCACACACCAACACCTGCACCCACACACCCACACCAACACCTGCACCCACACACCCACACCAACATCTACACCCACACCCACGCCCGCACACTCACATCCACATTCACACCCACGCCCACACACGCACATCCACATCTACATTCACACCCACACTCACACCCACACCCACACTCATCCCACACTCACACCCACTCCACCCACACCCACACCCCACCCTTAAGTAATTGCGCTGCTTCAGATAATTCGAAGCTTTTTGATACTGAGCGTTATTTTTGCGAATATGAGACATGATTAAGTCTGTCCGTAAGAATTCAATCACTCACTCTCTATGATTGCTGTGCAATGTGGATGAGGTATGGGTATAGTTATATTTGAATCCATACTGACACTCACAGCTAAAGATCTACAGAGTGTTTGTGTGGGTGCGGATGTGGGTGGAGATGTGGATGCAGATTGGAAAGAAGATGCCCACATCAACACCCACACCCACATGCTCACGATTTGTCTTTCGATCGTTGACAATCAAGCGTTGGGGTAGAATTCTCGGCATATAATAATAATTTTCTTCAATAAAAATGTAATATTTCCCGTGATATACTCAGTAAGAAAAAGCGTTAGTTTCATTCCGTTCAGATTATAACATATAAGAATAGAAATCAATCAAGTGTGATTTGGATTACGATGTCGTCTCATTTTATTACATTTTCTACACGTGCGTTTTCTTCCCGCTTCACAACGTGTATAATCATGTGGGCCTTTAGACTCTTCTTCATCGTCTGGTTCATCGTCACCACTGTGCTTGTCTTCGTCTCGAATTCCGTAAAAAACATCCAAAATCCAGTTACACATCCGGTCTAGGGCGAATTCTATTTCATCTTCATCGGCAAGGATCCCTTGACAGTTCGTATTACATCTGCGACAGCCTTGCTTCTCTATAATAATTTGAACAGTGCCTGTGCTCCAACGAGCTCTCCAAATAATGGTTGTGTAAGATGATGTCCACTTTTTCCCGCAATTGCAACACTTAAATCTACTTTTTTTACAGTACATAAAAAATACTGAGAGTTAAATCTATACTTGCTTAGCTCTAGCGTTAAGTGTTCGAAAAGGCCACTTACGTTGTCCCTGAAATAATGCTTCTCGACTTGTGTCTACATTGTGTGGCATTAGCTCAATACTCCATTCAGAAAGATCGTAAGAATCTAAAGCTTCGTAAAACATTGTTCGAAGGGGTACAAACCAATAGTTTTGTGCCATCAATTTACTTCGTGTCAGGTAGAAGAAAAAGTGAGAAAATAATAAAGGAATACTTATTTTGGTAAGAGTATAACAGTGGGTTTGTTTTTATCTTGTGTAAAAATATTTATGATGTTTCTCTTCCTACGTAAATATTCACCGAGTTGACACATGTGTGAGTCACGTTTAATGTTCGTCGAGAAGCGAAGGACGAAAGTGTCTGGAAGCGCTTTTTCTGCGTTTTCCGCTTAAATGGATTACATTACTTTTGTCGTCATTGTCAAAAATCATTTCTTTAGAATTTTTTTAAGGCCCTCTAATTTTTTTTACTCCCCCCCCCCCCCCCCCCCCCCCCTCAGGAACGAACTTTGTTATTTTTCATCCGATTTCAACCAAAATATCAGAGAATGTTAGTCTTGGCTAGAATAGGTTATCATTAAAATATCTCCTCCAAATCTCAAATTTATATACGGGTTCTAGGCTCTTTATTGGTCAAAAGTAGGGCAATTTTTTTGCAATAAAGATACAAGCTAGAGTGATGGGGCAGCTTTCAGATTGTAGAGTGCCCTTAGGGCTAGGACTTGACAAGACCCGATTTTTGAGTTTCCCTTTATTTGATTTTTAAAAGAGGTTTTTCAAAAAACTTTCAAATTCAAGGTGCTAATGAAAATAAAGTGTCTCAGCTTTTTATTTCAGCAAAAGAGAAATTTAAAAATCGGGACCTGTCAAGGCCTAGCCCTGCATGTCACCTATATAATAAAAAAAAATTATCATTTCCATGTCGAATTGTTATGGAGAAAAACCTGCCCGTATACACTGCACACACGAAAAATCTGATTTTGAGAAAAACGAAAAACAAGGCTTTTTAGTGCAGTAAGTGTCTTTACCCTTGTATAAATGCGTGCATTCAATTCAACATCATTGAAACCTTTATGAAATTAACTTTTGTGTTAGAAAGCTACAAGCATTTACATACAGTTGAAGTTCATAAAAGATATTTCATAATAACTGAGAATACAGTGTTAATGATATTTTTCATTCTTTTGTTTGAATGATAGAACTGAAATTTTTACGACATATAGAACTAATCAAGATCTTTTAGTTTTGAAAGTTTCAGCTCTCTGGCTACGACTAACGGTAAAATACACCGATCAAATTGAAATACATAAGTGTTCATACTCACTTTTTGGCCCATTTTTCGGTAAAAATCGAATACGAAACTTTATGTATTTCAATTCGATCGATGTATTTTACCGGTAGTCATAGCTAGAGAGCTGAAACTTTCAGAACTAAAAGATCTTGATTAGTTCTATATGTCATAAAAATTTCAGCTCTATTGGTCAAACAAAAGTATGAAAAATATCATTAACACTGTATCCTCAGTTATTATGAAACACCCTTTTTGCCTCAGTAGCACATCCTCAGAAAAGAAATTCGCCAGAAAAAAAGATCAATGTACACGTTTTGGCAAAACAAATTATGCTAGGTTGTAGTTCATTACAAGAGCTATCAGAATATGTATAAATCTCAAAATTGAGTTTTTTTCGAAAAATTGACTTTTCTGAGGGGGGGGGGGGGTGGGGCATAAGTGGTATAGAGATGAATAACATCTTCTTGATCATTTGTCAGATCGAGCAACCGATTCCAAGAAATTTCCTGTACTGTCTCTACCAGCTTATCTAGATTATCTACCGAATTCCTGAGTGTGTTAGTAGCTTCTTTAAGTGATACTACTGGATGTTGTTCACTGACTTCCATGTGAACTTCTGTAGTCAATGGCTCTTCATTAGCATCAAGAAAGTGTTGAGTTGTTGTTGTACTTGCCATTGGATAGCCTTACCAAAATGAAATTAAATCTATCCCGTTGTGGGTGTGGGTGCGAATATGTGGGTGAATATGGAGTACAGGTGCCCTGGGTAAAATCTTTGATATTTTAGAATCAAGCCCTATTCAGACCTGATAAAGATCCTGCAAGAATTCAGCATTTTTTCCTAAGGAAACGGCAAGTCTTGAAAGAATTGTGCAACCAGGAAATTTCAAGATATTGCCAGGATTGACAAAAAAAAATTAGAGGATCTTCGTAAATTTAATTTTTGGTTTGACACAAGATTAGGTAAAGAAACGAATAAATCATGAAAGAGGTGTGTAGCCAAGGAATTTCAGGATCTTGCTGGGTTCCAGAACAAAACTTCCTAAAGTCCTGCCAGATTAATGTCAGGATTTCTACACTTAGTATTAAGAGTTTCTTCAAGATCCTTCTAGGATGGCATCTGATATGACCAATGCTTCGTCTAATTATCGCGAATGAACCTGTTCAGAATCTGCTTCAGGCGGAGTTCTTGGGATTTTTTTTATGAATATTTATAAGAGTTAAACTTACTGGTGTTGTCACAGGATTGTGATTGTGTCAGAACCGTAGCAGCATTTTCTAAGTAGAACATTTGTTATTTTTTAGAAAGAGTTCAAGAAGCGACTTTTATATTGCCTTTCTTCGTCATTTTTTATGCCTTAGCAATC